CATCAGTCAAATGGTTATCCATAGCAATACTCAGCAAATATAGTTGAACAATTTTACTCCAATCCAGATAATTAGAGCCATTAAGCTTATGCTCAGTTATTTTTGACATCACTGGAATAACATCCGACATAACTATTGATTTCTTGTCTGCCATAATCTCAAAATTCAAATAAACAGAATATTTTGAACCCTGAAAATCAACAGAGCACACCTGTTGAAAACACCGGAATGGATATGCACGTAACAAAGCACAAATATGTGCTATATAGGACGAGGCGAGCCAAAAGACAACGACCGAAAAAAAAATTTTCTGGCGACAGATGTGCCTCCGCGTGCCGGCGCGTGTGACTGTGGCAGAATCTTCAGGCGGTGCGTGAGACACACGCGCAGGGCTGCTGACTGCCGGACTTTGCAGAGACTAGATGCTTTGACTGCTCCAAGGAGGTGACCCGAAACACCCAAAAATTTTCCTCTACCTACTGTTTACTTAAAACAAAAGGGCAGGCAGAGACTAGATGCTCTGATACCATGTAAAATAAGAGTAAACAGAGGAAGAAGAAGAATTTGTTGTATTATTCATCAATCTCGTATGTATATATACAAGTTACAAATTCTATGTTAGGAAAGAAGACTAATMAAATTCCTACAAATCTRTCCTACAATCAAGGTAAATCATATCTCCCTAATATTTACTTCCTATTTTAGTTATACAGTCTGTAACATCACATCTCCCTAGTATTTACTTCCTATTTTAATTATACAGTCCATAACAAATTGATTGTTAACGTTTAAATTTTCTGGGTGTGTGCTATGTGACGTATAGGTTATAAATCCTGATCCTCATCCACCGAACCTGTGTAAATATTCAAATGAATGGATCTTGGTGCTTACATTTGCAACCAAAATTTAGTTAATACTTGTCAATCAAAATTTTGCAGGTCTTTTGGGGTCTGGACAAGAAACTTGCTCAAAGGAAACATTTCCCATCTGTGAACTGGCTTATTTCCTACTCGAAATACTCCAAGGTGTATTCTTAAAATGTTTTTCCATATATCACATGTCCTAGATGATGTTATTCTTCCTCCAAGGACTTGCATAACATTTACTGCTTGTTGACTGGATTTTTAATTTTTTTTTCTCACATGCAATTCATGTATATTCCCAGGCCTTGGAGTCTTTCTATGAGCAATTTGATCCAGATTTTATTGACATCAGGACAAAAGCCCGTGAGGTGTTGCAGAGAGAAGATGATCTAAATGAAATTGTCCAAGTGGGTTTACTTCCTTGTTTTATATGTGTTATGGGTTTTCCAATCTCAGTTGAAATTGTGTTTCCTTGCTGTTTGATGAATGTAATTATGTCAAACGGGTAGAATAGGAATAGTTTCCTTCCTACCTATTGTGAAATGAGGTGGGTAGTAAAGGAAGCTGAATACCTACCATTAGGTATTAATATCTTAGATTGATATTTTAAACAATCCAATGAATCAAAGGTTATGGTTTTTTGAGGGCGATCAGAAAAATAACTCATTGCAATTTGAAAATGTAATGGTTGGATCATTTCAAGAGTAAAGAATAAATTTCACTAAAAAAGAGAACTGATTGCAAACTAGATGGGTGTCGAGATGACACACCAGAAAAGCTAATCAAGATGAAAAAGATGTACATTACAAGATTGAATCTCAGCTTTAATTTTGATATCCAATATTTGCTTTTGCTATCATTGCAAGCTATACAAACCTTTTCAATGGATTAACCTAGTTACCAATATCATGGATGGTCTTATGGCTGTTTATATTGTTTCAGCTTGTTGGGAAAGATGCTTTAGCAGAATCAGATAAGATTACCCTGGAGACTGCAAAACTTCTGAGGGAGGACTACCTTGCCCAGAATGCATTTACTCCGTAAGTACCACTTTGAAATTTAACCAGTAAACAACTCTCCTCCTTGGATCATCTTTTAGATCAATTTATGGTGGTTAATAAATTGTCCTTTTCTATTTTGTGTCACTGCATCAGATATGATAAATTCTGTCCATTCTACAAATCTGTTTGGATGATGCGCAACATAATCCATTTCTATAATTTGGCAAATCAGGTAAGCTTATACTTTCCTTTTACTTTTTCTTGCCTTTTTTGTTTTGTGGTCAAGAATTGCAATCCTACTGGAGTTGTTTGTGTCATTTAATGGAGTGGACAAGTTCTAGTGCTTGTAAAAAAATCATGCATCCATCTTTGTAGAGATATACCCATTGTAAAATCTGGGTCAGTTTTGGCGTAAATCAATCTTTACTAGGAGAATCTGAGATTTGGATGTAATCCAGATTCCAGAGTGGGTTGTTTTCGAATTATTATTATTTTTTAATTTTCTTTTACAGAAAGAAAATGAGTAAATTAGGGGGGGGGGGGAGGGGTGATTCTGAAAAGAGAAGAATCAATTAAAAGTCCTACGTTCTAAATAGAATTCATCATCTCCAAGGAGGCAGAATGCCCTTAATTCTGATGTCTTCAGACTTCAAACCCATAGGTTTATGGACAGTAATTCTCTAGGCTGGAGCAGAAAATTTTCTTGATCATGCTAGTATCTCTGTTAATGTTTTCAGAAATTCTTTTAAACAAGTCATGGGGTTTTGCAGGCGGTGGAGCGAGCAGCTGGTATGGATGGCCAGAAGATATCTTACAGCCTTATCAAACATCGGATGGGAGATCTCTTTTATCGTTTAGTGTAAGTGGGAAGGCAAAACTAGAAAATGGGGAAGGGATAAAGCCTTCTTTTGCATCATTGCATGCTCCATGGATTGTGTGTGATAAGATCTGGTAATCTTTCAATGTTACAGGTCTCAGAAATTTGAGGATCCTGCAGAAGGGGAGGAAGCCCTCGTGTCAAAGTTCAGGAAACTACATGAGGATCTGACTGCTGGTTTCCGCAATCTTGAGGATGAAACTCGATGATCACATTCTTCTTCTCAGCTTGTAGACCACTCACTTCGGCCATGCTGATCCATAGCTATGAAACTTGGTCTTTCTCCTTTTCCTTCTCGCTTTGTAGGGCCTATATATCATATGATGTTGGTGGCCTTTTGTTTATTGCGGCTATTGTTTTCTCATTACACCCTCGTGAGTTGTTTGTCAAGAATAAGTGAGGCTGAACCAGGTAAATTCATATTTATTTGTATATATCCATAGAATAAGATGCAATGGAGCTCGCAATCTCACAAATTTCTATTGATCTCGCCCTTTTGGTTCATGGGAATAGGGGTTTGGAATGGTAGTGCTATACTGGCATGGGCCATTCCATTTCCATTGCTGATGGAATGACATTCCCCCATTTGAGGGAATGAATCGAATTCCGTTGAGAATGAAATTCCATTTCAGTTGATTTCAATTTCCATTCTGATTCCGATTCCCGTTTCAACCAAAACAAACTATGGGAATAAACAATTCTGACAGATTTCTATTACCATTTCGATTTCAATTGTAAACTAAACGGAACTTAAATTGTTTTTGATAGGCTTACACCAGTTGGGCATTTTTTCTCATTTTCCTCTCCCGACCCAAACCCCATGCCTTACCATTATTCTTGGTGTATGAAAGCATGAAATGCATCAAAAGCTTGTTGAGTACCCTATAGGCCTGTAAGTTTGTTGAGTAGCCTCTGGCCCTCTGCTATATCGGTGGTCGGTTCTGCTGCAGAAGATAGCCTGGGCTCTGGTGATCGGTTTAAATTCGGAACCAGTTGCCAAGCAAAAATGGCCCCCATATTTGGACGGAGTTGGGTCTCATGTTGGTACGATAAATCTGATAATTCATATACTTTCTTCACTCCATATTGTTTTTATCTCTTTGCACTCTCACCTTTCTCTCTTCCTCTTTCATGTGCATTTGCAATTGACACTCAAACTAATTAATAATGGTAATTAGTAATGGAGATGCATTTTAGATATAACTATTTTTCAAACTTTATTCATGCTATTTGTTTCTAACAACCGTTCTGTTATATTTAATTTTTTTTGTAAGTTGGTCTACATCAGCATTTTCAAAGATCAGGACCCACTTGTTACTCAAGTTTGGGACCCACCATTGACTGTGCATTGTTAAATTTAATTGAATCTCCACCATCCAATGGTTTTATTATTTATTGTTCTTACTCAATGTCGGGCTCTCAGATAAGCACAATATGGGACCCATAAGAAAAAAATAGTTTAATTGGTTCCACCACATATGTAGACGAAAGGTTTGCTATAAACTACATACGTGTTCCTTTTACTAAAAGTCCAAGTGTTTGTTATTTGGTGATTGCTCTTTGGAGCTTGGCTCTTTCTGTCTCTATCTTATCATGTAAAGAAAAGGAGAAAAGGTAATGAGAGACCCACATATGTATTAATTGATATTGACAAACGTGAGGACAGATTACATATAAGAAAGGCCAACAGAGGCTCGTGCTAGGAAATTCTTATCTAGAATACGCCATCCAAACTAGCCTTAACACCCAAATGACATTAGTGCCCATTTATACATCCCCTAATTACATGATCCCACTTCCAATATAAATGGAAGTTGAAATATACTAACATAGCTAGGTTCTGTTTGGCATCAATGTGTTTCACAGGTGGGTTTCTTGCATCATAACAAATGATGTTTTTTAAAGGGCAAAATACAAAAACCTCCCTTGAAGTTTCTGACAATAATAAAAACCTTCTCTTTAATTTAACTTTAACAAAATCCTCCCTTGTATTTTCAAAAAAATTGACAAAAACCTCCCTTTTGTTAATGAACATGTTGAAAATTGCATTTTTATCCTTATACCATCTAAGCTATTTGCAAAATACCAGTTTTACCCTTACTCGAAAAACTCATTACACTCTCTTGAGAAAAAACCCTAACCCTAACTGTTGCAAGCAGACAATGCTCGGAATATTCCACTTCCTAGAATATTCCGGAGACGATTCTTCACCGGACGATGGCTGGTTTCATATTGTTGGTCGATTTCTTCACCAGAGTTCGTTTTCTTCACGAGAATTCATTTTCTTCTTCATGAGAGTTCGTTTTCATCTTGCAGCGGTTGTGTTCGGAATATTCTTCACCAAACAACATATGTGGCTTTCCAAATATTTCGGTGACTATTCTTCACCGGACGACATCTGTGTTTTTTAGGTTCGATTTCTGATTTTTTAGGTTCGATTTCTTAAGTTCAATATCTGATTTCTGATTTCTTGAGTTCTGATTTCTTAAGTTCGATTTCTGATTTCTTGAGTTCGATCTCTATCTAATCCGTCAAAGTAAAATATAGAAGACATGTCAAATGGGTCTGCCTAGCCATCTGAACTGGGCAAATATGACAGCCCCTTCTTTGAATCCTTCTTGGCCTCTAAAACCTCTGCTTTGAGTCACAATACTCATAATATACTCTATCTCCTCTTTAACTTCTTTTATTGAAGGCCGATTCTGTCGTTGTTCCTCCAAGCACCCTATGGTGTATATCCAAATTAAATCTTTTTGAATGGCTAATTTGATTCGACAGTACATCAAACAAGTTCTACACAATCTCAATCCTGCAAAGGCCATATCTTCCCATCTTTTACAATGCTAGTTGACAACGAATGCATCAGCAGCTGGAGCATTACAGTATTTGTTCTAGCCAAAGATTTCAATAGCCCTGACTTCGGGCCTTTTAGAGTCTTACTTGCATGGGAATGGTTACTATAAGAACTCTGTTTTCCATGGCCGCTTTCACTTGGTCCACCTTTGCATTTTCCCGCAACCTAAACAGTGTTGGTTGGTGCCAATGGACGGTACCAATGAATGCGTAACAGTGCTTAGGACCCATCAAACTAGAAGGAGGCAACTCTTTGGAACCATTGGATTAGGAAGCAAGCAGGGGCAGGTCCGAAAAATTGATGCAAGGAAAAGTTTGTCGTCTGATAACAACCAAGTAGAAGAATAAGAAACCAAGAATAGAGATGAACATATGGAAGATAGGATCCTATGACCGAACTGAAACAAAGATCAACTTAAGTGATTCTGACCTAAATCTTGTGGAGTTGGCTTTGCAGTTCCCTGGTTTTGTTGCTGAAAGACTTGCAGAAGTTGTGTGATCGGAATCCTTCTTCCTAGGTTCGTCATTCTTCTTCCTAGTTCGTTCTCCAGTTGCCCATCTTCCTTGTTCGTTCCTCACTCATTCTTCAGTAACCAAGATAATAAGAGAGGGCAAAGGGTATTTTAGTAAATATAGGTACATAATAACTTCTACAGGGGTAAAATGGGTATTTATAAAATTATATTCGATTTAACGTTTTTTGTCAGGTTCATTAACAAAAGAGAGGTTTTTGTTGATTTTTTTTTTTTTTTTTTTGAAAATAGAAAGGAGGATTTTGCTAAAGTTAAACTAGAGGGAAGGTTTTTATTATTGTTAAAAACTTCAAGGAGGTTTTTGTATTTTACCCTTTTTTAAATCACTATGGTGCTCTTGAAAATGTAATGTGGTATATTCAAATTTGAAAAAGCTGATTGCTTTTTTTAGATGTCAAACTTTATTATAAATTATAATTAATTCTTTCTGAGAAGAAAGCCAAATCACTTCAGACACCAAATCGGCATACATCTCTACTATATGGGTTTAGGGGGATGGCATTACGACATTCGTGATTCTGTGGCCCTATTTTGAATTACAACCTCTAAACTTAAATCATAAGGGCTTTGATCAATCAAATCCCCTTCCCTATGATTATAAAAAACCACATGATTGGTTACCACTTTATGATATCAGTTGATTGATTATATGTTTTTTTGGTATCACAGTCGAACCCTAAATACTGATGTGGCATGTTCACTGTTATATTATTAAATTAAAAAAAAAAGAGTAAGAGTATCGATTGAATGAAACTCTTGACACTTAATTTCTTGTATCAAGAATGTTATACTTTGAACCTTGCATATAACTTTGGAAATTAAAAATGTGATGTTTTAGAGTAAAAATGCTCCCTAAATATAAAAAAAGATATCTTTTTAGACATTTCCTCCAACACCCCATGCACATAATCCAATACAAAATGTAGTGTGGCCATTTGAAATTAAATTTGTCCAACTAAATAAATTTTTTTTTTTCTTTTTTTTTTTAGGTATGTTATGCTTGGTTTGTTTGTGATGCATATTTCATTTGCACTGGTGTACATGCATGGGAGTGCAAAATAGGTGGAATCTAAATTCTAATTTACCTTTTACTTCAGATTTGACTGCCTTTGTTTGTTAGTAAAATAGCAAGTAAAATGATTTGGTCCCCACCTTATATGTATAAGAATGGAGATAGGAGAATGGTTATTTGTTTAGGAGTAAGGAAAAAAGCAAGATAATATGGTTCCCATCATATAAGAGAGAGAATTGAGGGAGGAGGAAAGTGGTGTAAATTTTGCATTTCCAGTAGGTGCAAATGAAATAAAAAATTAAAAAGTGCAAAATTTGTATCAGGTAGGAGTACAAATCATTGTTGCAAAGAAATGGTTGCAAAATTAGACCAGGTACAAAATATGCATCTGATTCAGATTTGCGCTAAAACAAATAAAGTAAACACCTACATAATGGGAATGCAACATCACAGTTAAAAGCACTGCCCTCAGAGACTGATGTAGCAGTTTTTGCATCTACAAGCTAATTTCATCTATTACCCTTTCATGAGTTTCAATTTGTTTATTCTAACTATTATTTTGGAACCAAATTTGATGGTGAACCAGAAATAGGATTGGTTGCTGCCAGCTGGTTTGGTCCAATCGACTCCCAATTGAATAATCATGAATTGCACAATTTTATGGATTCTTTGGTTGGACCATCTGGTTTGAAAGCTCTTTTCGTTTTTAACTTGGCAAGGGAGCATGTTAATGTAGATCACATTGTTGTATTCACGTCGCAACTTACACACTCGAAGGTGCATTCCTATTAGCGATCCAACAATTGGATAATAAGGTAACAACAATTTCGAATGCCCAAAAACAGTGTTTAAACTTTATGCATTCTTGATTATTGGGGTGTTTCCTATTGATGGAAAATAAATAAATTTAATATTTTTATTGCACTCATTGCAAATAAATAAATAAAATAAAAAACGTTATATTAATGGAAAATTGAGTTAAGATTATTGTTGTGGATGGTTTGATTTTTAATCTCACAAGTTGTAATCATTCCTCTTGATCAGAGTCTTGGGTTGAAATACTTTCAAAGTCATCACAAAGAAGAG